AAGAAAGAGTTGAAGAGAAGAAGTAAGACATTAAAACGACATTGTTTATTTCTGGTGGCTTTCCAGATCTACTTTTAAAAAGGGGGCATTCCGGCCTTAAACTAGCATTAAATTATTTGTTGTTGTGTGGTGCAGAATTGCATCCTTCGGCCTCACTGGGTTGATAGAATTCATAATTTTGCATCCTTTCTGTGCTCACTACAATACCCAGCATGCATTCCACAAATGTACAATCAATAGGAATCTTGACTGCTAGCGTATGTGGCAAGTATAGTCATGATATTCAGCTTTTTAGTTGTGTTACAAATCTGCATTAGCCAGCTAGCAGACAAAAGAAACTAAACAATCCTCAAAAATCCACCACAAAGTGCTCGTAGTTTTTCAAATGTCCCGCCCACCTTCAAGATGCATCATCAGAAGGGGGTTTTCTAGCATTTAAACCAGAACATCTTACTCTAGATGCTATGGCAGGAACGCTTTCAGCAAATAGGCATGACTTCAATGGATGTAACAATTGGTTACATTTTCAATTTTAGCCGGAGTGCCCCTTTAAAGCCACATTTCCACACTGTTAGACGTGGCTATTAGACAAATGACTGGTTCAAGAAAAATTGCATGGACCCTGTTTACTTTAGTGGAATAAACGTGACATAAATTTATGGTATACTGATTTGTCTTTAAAAAAATGGTGCAGACTATAAACTATACGTGGGTCATAAAGTGGAAATGTCTCACTATTGCTTCCTCGAACAATGTGGTCAAACAAAAAGACACGAAGACATGAAAATGTGTATTTGTTAGGGAACAGTGGCTCTCGGAGCATGGCTGTAATCCAAGTGGAGCATGTGGCAAAAACGTGAGCCAACTGCTACTGAACCTCTGAAGCTCACATTTAGTTAGTCTCAGGCAAAATAAGATACGGCCTGGCCCAAAGTCCACACTTGCAGTTTGTGGTTTTGCTTAGGTGAAAACTAGAGTGATGTATTTCCAAATTGACCAAAAGCGCTTAAGAACTCACATTAGATTGTGACAGTGCAGTGTATCGTATCTTTCTGGGGCAGGTAACCGCCAACGTTCTTATGATGTTAATGTTTTTCCCTAATATTTCCTGAAGCGGTGAGTTCGAACATCATTAACTCGTTGAACCAATCTGGTGGGATATCAGCTTAGCCAAATACTACTCATTTGTGCAGCATGTGTGAACTCTGGGGCTAAAAAGAAAGCATGTGTATTACCCACAAAGCATCATCTAACTGCCAGACAGTGCTTTGCTGCAAATATTGTAATAATACTGTAGTGCAAAGTTGATGGTGGTTAAATTCTAATTGTAAACAGCCATATTATGCCTGGCAGACTGAATGAGTCACCTGCAGATATTTGCTCAAGTTAAAAACATTCCCAAAGCCATTCCATATAACTATGAAATGTATTGTAATACAGTATTGTGCAAATGTCGGAGACCAGCCTTCATTTGTTTGGCTCAGTGGTCGCCAACCCTTCTTCTGGAGATCTGCAGAGATTAGTTCTAACCTCAATCTAACAGCTGCCACCCCCTTTACCTAACACTAATGTATATGAATCTAGCCAATCATGGACTTCTGAAGAAGTTAATTAGCTGGAGCAGTTGTGGCGGATTGTGGTTTGAACTAGACTTTGCAAGAAGGTACATCTCAAGACCAGGGTTGGTGACCACTGGTTTGGCTTTTGGTCAAAACAGCCACAAGTTAGTCATTTTTTAAGAAGATATTTCTGAGAAGAGATATAATCGACTTGCATAAGGAGGGGGGAGTTAAAAGTGAAAAACAGGAGCCTCCAAAACTTCAAGAAAAGATTGAAAGATACAGGGAAAATGGGACTCCTAACAACCACCCACAAGACCTTGTAGACCATAGACCTCAACATTACTGAAAGTGCAACCAACTTCTAAGACTGAACTTTGGAGGTGTGGAAAAATATCCCTGCAGATTCCTTTGAAAAACTGAAAGCAAGTCTTCCAAAAAGAATGAAAGCTGCAATAAAGGTAGACGCAATAATTCTGGAAAATGTGATATATTTAATTGCCGATGCTTCTGTGTAATTTTCCGTTAAATATGTTTATCGTTTTTTTTCCTGAATAAGTTGTACTTTGGCCACTTTGACTGGAAATTAAAAACAAATGAAACGTGGTCTCTGACTTTTGCACAGTACCTTTCCTTTTCAGTATATTTCAGAACATAAATAGATTATGCTTTACAATATAGTCCCTGTTTAGTATGGTAGTGTGTGCTAACTCATATTGCTCTTGCATCATTTGATTTTACACTAACATGTGCTATTGATTCTATGAATGAGTGAACAGTTTAGGATCTAGACTGATGTCAGAAAGGAAGTAGCTATTCGTTCAGGTGCCTACCACTTCAAAAAAACTACAAACCATTAAAGGGTTCAGCATTTCTTTTAGGTAATTAATCCTAAAGTACACACCATTATTAAAACATACAGTCAAAAAGATTCAGATGGGGCTCACAGCCGTCCATGGTTAGGCGTCCAAGAAGGCATAATTGGCCTTGCTCTGTCTCGTGGGTGGAATCGCCCCCCATCACTCAGCACGATGCTAGCCAACATGGCGTCTGTTAGCTGACATAATTAGCAGTTAGTGTTCTCCTCCAAGCGTGTTGAGCTGTCCAATGACGTTGCATTAAAAGCAGTTTGAAAAGATGCCATGGAGCTTTTCTCGAATCTCAGAGCAAGCTTGTGCTAGCCTTCACCTTCCCGGCTTGGTTGAACTGTACACGACTAAAAGTGGAGGGAAAATGGGTAAAAATCCAAAAACAAAGAAAAAAAATCATTCACTTTTGAGGACCAACCTATCGACTTCTTTCTTCTAGGCAAAACTGAGTTTACTGAGGCCTGAAACAGATGCTAGGCCCATTGTTGGTGATCAGAGAAGTAGTGCAGTATAGCTACAGGTCCATGCACTAACTACAATACTGTGTATTACCCTGAGCCTTCAAGTCAACAGCATGCTTCTGAACAAGGACTACTAAAGTGTCTATGCTAGAACCACTAATATCCTGCACTATACAGTACTTTACCAAGTGTGCCAAAGTTTTGTATTGTTTCTATCCTCCTTGCATTATTAACGAGACTGAAAAAAGACATTCTCTTTGATAATCAGAGTTCTTTATAAAGTTCGCTTACTCAACCTTCCAGGTCGTCATCATCAGATTAATACGTATGCATTGCCTCAGCAGATTTCTCTCTCTGCTGAAGTGTTGCACCAACACTCCATCTTTCCTCTAGCTAACCTGTCAAATTCGCAATCCTTTCATCTCGCCGCTGCTCCTGCCATCCTCGGTCTCATCATCCGTTCTCTAACTTCATCTGTTATCTTGCCACATCTTCTCTAAATCCATATTTCCGTGCAGTGTCCATGTAGTGTTAGACTGCTGGACTCCCGTTTGCTTCCCTTAGAATATCACATTGATAGAATGAGTGAGATATTCATTGCTTTTAAAAGACGAATTCCATGATTCCAGTTTATCTGCATAATTCAATCATTGAGATGTAAATTAAATCCTTCAGAATGACATGAAATGGTTCATTGTAGAGAAACGTACTGACTTGGATTTCTTAACAGTGGTGGTGATAGGAACCAGGGGTCATGATGTCTACAAGACAAATATATCCATTATTTTTTTATTATCCTAAATGATCAGTTTAATTTATTTGGTATGTTGATAAGGGTAAAATGGTGATATATTTTGCCCTGCAACACCTTTTGTGAACTTTTGTAAACTCACTTGAGGCCAAAAGTTTACATATACCCAGGCAACAGACATTCAAACAAATATTTTTTCTCTACACATTTCTTTTGGCACATGTGATTTTAAAACAATCTTCAATTTTTTTTCAATTCACTATATCAGATTTCCAGTCAGTCAGAAGTTCTAATGCATCAAGCTGACTGGCTCTTTAAATTGTGTGGATTCCAAAAACTAATGTAATAACTTTTAGAAGCTTCTAATTTGCCATTGGAAGTGCACCTGTAGCTGTATTTAGGTGCCTACCTTTAGAGTCAGGAACCTGTTGCCCTTAATACCATGGAAAAATCAAAGCAACTCAGCCAAGACCTCAGATATATCAGCAGGACAATGATCCTAAATATCCGCTTAAAGTTGGGACGACATGGCTTAAAGACAGCAAAGTGAAAGTAGTGGAGTGGCCATCATAAAGCCCTGATCTGAATCCCATAGAAAATGTGTGGACAGAACTGAAAAAGCATGCCTGAACAAGAGGCCTACACCAGTTCTGCCAGGAGGAACAGGCAAAAATTCCAGCAAAGCATTGTGAGACGCTTGTGGAGGGATACTCCATGTTAATTAATTAGAAAGAAATGCCACTAAATACTGACAAATTGTATGTAAATCTTTTGAGCTACTGAAAATCTGATATAGTAAATAAAACCTAAAATAAATCTCTTAGCTGTTATTTTAAATTGACCTCTTATGGAAATAAAGTACATACCCCAATTGGCTTAACAGGAAATGCATGGTAACAAGACAATTGAGACAACTGAATAGGCCATGAGTGTCCAGTCTTGTTCCTGGTCATCTACCACCGTATAAAGTTCAAATTCAACACACTTGGCTCTATTATTCAGATGCCCCTGAAGGCTTCATTACCTGGACCAGGTGTGATAGACTATAACTGGAGCTAAACTCTGCAGGGGCTCCAGGACCAGGAATGGGAATCTTCATGTTACCACACATTTCCTGTATTAGGCTACACATTTCCATACATTTCCTATGTTTCATTTACTGTAACAGATTTTTTAATATCTCAGGCAGCTTATTTGTAGCCATGTTGAGTAATAGCTTCCTGTTTGGGAGCTTTTAGAGACTCTTCAGACGTCCCATCACCACCACTGTAAACAATTCTGACTCGGTTAGTTTCTGATTTTTGGTTTACATCGTAAGGACTGGATTATTCAGAAACTGGGGGAAATTGGTGGACTTCACCTTTAATTTAAAGACTACAAACTATGTGGGTGCAGAAGTAGGACTTTCTCAGTATTGCTTCCTCAGATGTGGTCCGTTCCAACCGAATGAAAAAACATGCAGACATTTGTTTCTTCTCCCTTTCCCATTAAATCAGAGCACTGAGGCTATGAGAGGAGCAAAATTCTGACCATACGGTCTGCAAAGCTACACTTTCATGCAGTATTCAGAGAGAATTAGAACCAGCTCAAATGGCTGCTCCCCTTAGAATTTCGCATGAGTATAATGAATGGGCCATAAATCTGCGACTACATACTTACTACATACTGGTCAAGGAGTGTAACTTTCTTAGTATTGCTTCCTCATATGTGGTCAGTTCTGATCACCAACCAAAGAAAAACAGATGTGAAAATTTGTTAGGGAACAGCAGCCCTGCTGTTTTGTCTCTGTGACTGTCTTCCTTTCTATCATTTGTCCCGTTTCTTTCTCTCTCTTTCTATTCGCCTCTCTCCATGTCACATCAGAGCGCTGAGGTCGTGGCAGGAACGGGATTTTTGTCGCAGCATCCTGCTGGCCCGGTGTCTGCTGAGGTCCCGCTCTCGGTCCCTGTCCCGCTCCCTGTCCCGCCCGTGGTGTGACCGCGGTACCAGCCCGGACAGGAAACGCTTGGCCCTGCTGGTCAGGCTCTCACGTCGGCCGGCTCCTGGGGAACCCTCCGTCCAGCCAGGCCCCAGGCTGTGGCCCCGGGCAGCCCGGACCGCCGCCTCCAGGAGGTCATTAGTGCGGTGGTCCAGTGAGACGGACAGCTCCAGGTACAAGCAGTCGAACACCATCGCACTGGAGTGAGCCTCTGAGAATGAAAAAAGAGAATCACTTGTTATATTAGTAATTTTTGTTATTTTATCTATAATAATAATAATAAATTTTTACAATGTATTTTTTTAATAATAGTGGGGTTGAGAATTTTGAAACAACAAGTTATTACATGGTAAATAATACACTGTAAATAGTTTGTTATCTGCTTTGAGATTGACTGTGACTTTCGAAGTACAATTTTATAATATTATATTTTTACTTCTATAGTCTATGAATTCTTAATATTATACAGCTTTTATACAGCTTCATCATTCTAATTTACAATTTCCTTGCTCCTGACTACTTATTCAATTCTATAAAGTTTCAGATATTAGCATATTAGAATCATGTATACTTTTATCTGCAACCACACTGGTTATGCATCACTGGAAACACTTGTTTCTGAATTTGAACGGTAGTGAGATCTACTTAAGAATTCAATTTTGTTTGCTTGCTGTCTAAAACTTGACAACTGGACCTGAAATTCTGATCAGAAGCCAAGTATAGCTTGAAAAAACTCTAAATGACCTAAGGTGACCCACAGCAGTTTAAATTTAAATCTGACTGTAGCCCAACAAATTCCTGAACCTGTCCAAAACCAAATGGAGAATTAATGAAACCCAGCATCTCTAATGACAGCGCCTGATAAACTACCTTAGCTTTAATGTTACGCTACCTTGTAGCGACACTGACAGCCATCATTATCATTTATCATGCTGGCTTCTCGTTGGACCTTGCTGCCAGCAACACTGGAGTAGCTGGATCCAGAACAAACACAGTTTAATATAGGCTGTGAAAGTAGAGAGGAAAGTATAAAGTAGAGGGAGAAACAACTACAGTGGAGTAAAAGTGGGACAAAATAGTAAAAAAGTCGCAGAGGAGCTGTAAGAAACCCAATGGGGAACCTTCAGGGACTTCTCTGAGAACTAAACAAAATACTATAATGTCTATCATTTTTAGTTCACTTTTATTTGATAGTATCATTGTGCTTGTTGTATTTAGACTCTAATTTCATTGTTAAGGTTTGGTCAAAAACAAAAGGGATAAACTTGAAATGGCCAGTGGAAAAAATTGTGTGGTATCTAGGTTGGTACAGCCAGGTGAGCTCTCCTACTGGTTAGGCCTTTAGGAACTGGACAGAAGGCCTTCCATGTTAGATTAACTACCAAGCAATTAGGAAGTGACTTTGGAATCAACAGCAAATTTTGATTTACAATGGGTGGGACAAGAAAGCAAGAAAAACATCAATCTAGGCAGGAGTGACCATTCCTTGATCTGGAGATCTACCACCCCTGAGAGTTCAGATCCAGCACACCTGGGTCTAATATTTAGATGCCCCAGAAAAAGTGAGGTTACTATTAATATATTATTAGATACTACATACTATTAGAAATCACATATGGCTGCTAGCAGTAATTAGCATTATTAAAGAGGGTTTTAATCATTTATTTTTTTAGCGTTTGGACAAGTGTGGCCCGGACATAAGGCCTAGCTTTAGCAGTTAAGGTTTACCACTTGGGAAACCCAAATGTGGAATCTGAAGCCGACCTGAGTCCAGCAAATATTTGAGAAAGATGTATTATAAAATATCTAAAGCTCTATTAACAACACGCAGTGGGAGCAACATCGCCTCTGGCAGTAAGAGTTCAGTGCCTTACCCAAAGGCATAACAGCAGGCTTATCATATTCCTGGTGTTAGCAACCCTCCAGTCCGCAGCCCAACCACCAACTAGGAATACCTGCTCATTCCTGGGATTCAAACCTGCAACCTTCTGGATTGATTCTTATCCCTTGTCCAGGAGACCTGTTGCCCTTCACACACCTGACCTAATCAGCTAAGTAACAAGCCCTACTTGATGATGTGTTCAACCAGGTGTGTCAGAGCAGGAATAACACAAAAACATGTAGGGTGGAGGTACTCCAGCACCAGGGCTGAGAGCCCCTGCACTAGGCCATTATCACCTCAATTAACCTGAATGCTTTTTATTCCTCTTACAAGGAAGCTTCATTGACTTGATGTGAGGCAATAAAACTTTGCTGATTTGATTTGAAAGCTCATATGCGTGCGTGTCTGTGAGGGAGAGAGAGCCAGAGAGTGAGTGAGTGCGAGAGACAGTGAGCGATTTATGCACGTATTAAGTTTGACAATCCTCTTTCCAGCTTAGCCTGGGACAGCCAAGTGAATTGAATGGGCCCGAGTGAAGCAGAGGAGAGGTGAGAAAGACATGATGGAGCTGTGAATGGAGGAGGGAGGGAAGGAGGAGGTTTGGATACAGATCAGTGTCTGATTCAGCGGGACAGCGAGTGAGTCCCCCAACACCTCAGCTGCGGAATGACACAGCCGGAGAGAAAGAACAAGAGAGGACGGGGTGGGAGGGGTGCACTCACTAGGCCAGAGAGAGAGAAAGAGAGAGAGGGGACAGATTGGTTGCATTCATCACCAAGGCAGTTAAAAAATAGCACATTGTGTTATCATAAGGATAAAGGGGCTTCGTCTCAGCTGGAGTAAAGTGGAGATTTACTGCTGTGTTGGATGACTGTTTGTGTGTGTGTGTGTGTGTGTGTGTGTGTGTGTATTAAATGTCATATATACCTGGTCATTGAAATCGACAGGCAAAGCTGCACAGTGAGTAAAGATGAACTCATATTTTTAAAGCTGTAGTCCAATTTCTCCAGCCAGAATACATTTAGTATAATGTGTGTGGCCGGCCCTCCTAATTATTGAGTTCAGGTGTGTCAGCAATATCCACTGCTAACAGGTGTACAAAATCAAACATATAGCCATGCAATCTCCATATAGACAAGAATTTGCAGTACTGAAGCGCTCAGTGATTTTGAATGTGGCACTATCATAAGATGCTGCCTTTGACACAAGTCAGTTTGTGAGATTTCTGCCCTGCTAGATCTGCCCCGGACAACTGTAAGTACTATTATTGTGAAAAGGACGAGACCACACAAGCTCACAGAGCGGGACTGCTGAGCACTGTAGCACGTAGCATGTAGAAATCACTTATCCTCTTATTATACAACAGTTAGTTCCGGCCACACAAGCTGACTGGTTGTGAAACATTCTAACCATGCAGTTATTTCGCCTACTATCACTCCGCTGAGACGCTGTTGCTAAGCAAATGACAGCTGTAGGAGATGCTCAAGCCATTTGAACGTTTTTACTTCTTACTTTGCCACAAACAGAAAATGGATACTTTTAAGATCACATTTGACCGACAGCCGATTTGGTCAGACTCTAAAGATGAGACGACACTAAATTCCCAAACTGTCATCACCACTGAGCAGCTTTTCAGTCGGCAGCTGTGACAGAAGAACAGCTAAACAACCTGGAATCAGCCCGAAATGAACCCAATACCATTCACCAAACTAAATGGGCTGTAAGATGCTTTACAGACTGGCTGGAACAAAACAACATTAATACTGATCTGGCAAAAATTGACAAAACTGAGCTAAACTTGATATTGCGGCGGTTTTTTGGCTCAGTCCGTACTTCAAAAGGCGAGGCTTACAGCAGACTGTGCAGTGAGTGAGCGGAGTTCGTTACTCTGACTCTACTCTGCTTGTTAAGGAACTATAATTTGGCAGAAAAATTGCTAACATTAAAACATCAAATGCCACGTTCATGCCCCAATATTTGTCTCTTACTTAATTTATTTAACTGTTGTATAAAACCAATAGAACACTTGAGGTTGATATTCCCTTATTCGTTGTTTTGATGATGGTAGTGGAGAGGGTTGTGGTCTAAAATCTCCAACAGGTGTTCAAATGGGTTGAGATCTGGTGACTCCAAAGGCTGTAGCATATGATTTACATTATTTTCATACTCATCAAACCATTCAGCAATCCCTCGTGCTCTGTGGATGGGGACACTGCCGTCCTGGAGGAGACCATTCCCATAAGGAAGAAAATGCTTTATCATATGATAAAGGTGATCATTCAGCATTGATTTGCATTGATCCTTCCCTGTAAGACGAGAAAGTAACCCAAAATATGCCAGCAAAAATGCCCCCCATAACATAACAGAGCCACCAGACCTCTTCACTGTACAAGTCCAGCATTTAGGCCTGTACTGTTTACTTGGTGTATGCTGCACATGCACTCACCCACCTGTAGAGAATGTGGTGAAAGATGACTCTTCTGACCATATCACCTTTTCCACATTTCTGTAGACCAGCGCCAATGGCTTTTACAGCACTGAACTCTCAAATGGTCATTTGTCTTTATATGCACTGCACCTCTGATAAAATATCCCTCTTTATGTCGTTGTGGATGGATTTTTCTGATCATGTCCTGCATTTGCATTCTCAGCCACCTGCTGCTCTTCTGTTCCTCCTTATGGCACTCATGCACGAGCATCACACTCATTGAACGTGTGCTGTCGACCACAATTTTCAGCCCTGTTCACTGATGTCTTTCCCAGAAATCTAACTGCTGATGTCACTTTAGCCACTGTTTCTACTGAAACACTAGCCAGAAGAGCTGACTGACTGAGGTTCTTGCCATCTGTGCCCCAATAATGAACCCTCTTTCAAAGTAACTCAGATGTTTTTCCTCTTGCCATCTTGATCCAGAGCGTGGTAGGATGCTGACTGTATATACATCTGCACTTGTTATGCATCGTCACTCATTTATTCAAGATGTTCCTTCGCCACAACATGTCATCCATCTGTAAGTAAGTTGGTGCAATCCTTGTAGCTTTAGCTAAAAAAAAAGTAAACTTTGGTCATACTGATGCTGATCTACAAGCCCATTTCCAAAAAAGCTGGGACAAGAGCAAAATGTAAATAAAAACAAAATGCAATGATATGCAAATCATTCAAGCCCTATATTTAATTGAAATTAGTACAAAGACAACAAATCAAATGTTGAAACTGAGAAATCTTATTGTTCATTGAAAAAATTTAGCCCATTTTGAATTTGATGCCAAGAACACGTTCCAAAAAAGTTGGGACGGGAGCAACAAAAGGCTGGTAAAGTTGTGTAATGGCAAAAAAAAACACCTGGTGGTTAAATGGCAATAGGTCATTAACATGTTTGGGTATAAAAAGAGCATCTCAGAGAGTCTTTCAGAGGTTAAGATGGGGAGGGGTTCACCACTTTGTGAAAGACTGCACGATCAAATAGTGCAACAATTCAAGAAAAACATTTCTCAACATGAAATAGCAAAGAACTTTTGCTTTTCATCATCTATGGTTCATAATTGTGAATCATAATTCACAATTGTGAATCATAAATCATGGATTATGAATCATAATTCATAATCCATGATCTTTGGGCCCTCAGGCGCCACTGCATTAAAAGCAGACATGATTCTGTAGTGGAAATCACTGTATGGGCTCAGGAACACTTATGAAAAACACTGTCTGTGAAAACAGTTTGTCGCTGCATCCACAAATGCAAGTTAAAACTCTAAAATGCAAAGAAGAAACCAAATATAAACAGGATCCATAAACGCTGCCACCTTTTCTGGGCCTGAGCTCATTTAAAATGGACTGAGGTGAAGTGGAAAAGTGTCCCGTGGCCCGACGAATCAACATTTCCAATTCTTATTGGAAATCATGGACACTGTGTCCTCCAGGCTAAAGACCACTCAGCTCGTTATCAGTGCACGGTTCAAAAGCCGGTATTCATGATGGTATAGGGGTGCATTAGTGCACATGGCATGGGTGACGTGCACATCTGTGAAGGCACTGATGAGCAGCTGATATCCTATATCAAACAAGAAAGAAAAACCGTATTGCTTTCAAAACTACAGCAGTCGGTCTCCTCAGTTCCCAGACTCTTACAGTGTGTTGTTAAATGAAGAGGTGTTGAAACACAGTGGTAAACACGCCCCCGTCCCCAACTTTTTTGTAATGTGTTGTTGGCATCAAATTCAAAATAGGCATACATTTTTCAAAAAACAATAAAATTTCTCAGTTTCAACATCTGATGTTGTCTTTGTAGTATTTACCTTTAAAAATATGGTTCTTACGATTTGCATATCATTGCATTCTTTTTTATTTACATTCTGCACATCGTTCCAACTTTTTCGGAAATGGGCTTGTACATTCGGACTAAGAAATGAGATTTTTTCACTTTTAACTACTTCTATAAACAGTATGCACATCAGAAAAAGGACTCTTCCTCCAGCGTGGCCTGAAAGATGATAAATCTCTTCACTTTTATAAATATTGTATGCATATGTGATCCATTCTAATATCAAGCAATATCCATACCAAATACCCTGGTCTCATCTATATACAGAAGAATCTGAATAGGAGAAAAGAAGAGAGGATGGAAGATGAAGATGGATTCTTAAAATCTCCATATCGATGGCCACACCGCAGTAGAAGAGAATGTGCTGAGGGCAGCGCTAGCCGGATAACCCCCCTCTGTCCTCTCCACTCTGCTCCTTCCTCTCTCTGTATGCCACACCCACCTCTTGTGCAAGCTTCAGCGAAGTCTAGACTCTCCGGTTTTTATTTTTAAATACACGCTGCAGCATACCTTTGACATCTTCCTCCCCCCTCTAAGACTGCTGCCTTACTGTTATCGGCACGAGTACACAAAAAGCTCCCACACAAGGTTCTACTGTGATTTAAACACTCACAGGCTTATTTCTCTCTGTCTTCTCTTATCGTAGTCCTGCAAACACAGCGCAAGAACGTTAGCCACACCAAGCAGAGGAGAGAATGGAGAGAGAGAGAGGTGTTGGTGATAGAAAGAGACGTGCACACACATGTGTGTGTGTGTGTGTGTGTGTGTGTGTGTGTGTGTGTGTGTGTGCTGACACTGGCAGATGCGCAAGACAAACACACTTGCGCACATTAAGATAGTAACACCAGCGCTCTGTGGGTGAAAGATAATCTAGAGCAAACAGACAAATACCCCAAAGACAACAGAGAAAGAGAGCAAACAGAAAGCACATGAGCTCTCGGGAGAAGAGAGACAAAGACCAACCTGGAGGATCTCAGACAGTCAGTTTAAAAGGTTTTAAGACTGCACAGCTTGCTGCATCACATTAAATGCAAGAGCATGAGGGTCTGGTGGGACTGCAATCACAGTCTCTAATTAGTCTCCATTTGTCTTCCCACAGTGTTCACGGTGTGTGCAGCCCTTGCAAATCCGTAAACGTGTGAATTCCAGAGTTTACCATATGGAAGATGCACTCGAATGGCCAACAACGTTGTAAATACAAGAACTAAGCTCAGGCAATTTCCATGTTACCAGAGCTTGGTCCAGCCTAGAACAGTCCCTTATACCACATGAATGCAGTGACCAGGCTGGCGAATAATGTACCATGATTCCAAAACCAAAAACGGCTTACAAAGCAGCAACAAACAGCTGATTCTGCTGTGGTTCCTAATCAAGGCCGTAACCAGGATAAGAATTTTGAGGTCCATGTTGCAGAAATGTCTGAATCTACTTCACACAGTGCATAAATAGACTAAACTGGTAAACACTGTACCAGGTAGAGTCAAATATACTGACTCTTCAAAGTCTGCGTCCTAATGTGCGATAATTAGGGGTATAACAATGAATTGTCTTCGTCAAATAAAAGTGACGACCAAATAAGTTGGCAACAAATTTGATAGTCGATCAGTTGGTGACGTCATCATGCGTGTTTCCTGCGCTAACTAGGAATGTTTGGAGAGGAGACAAAAGCACGATGGCAGCCTCAAGAACAAAAAAAAGTGTGGGAGCATTTCACACTAAACTCCAAAAATAGGTTGTTAGTTGTGCTATTTGTAAAGCTGACCTCAGCTGGCATGAAAGCACATTCTCCATGCTGGAGCTTTTGAAGAGGAAACACGCCGGCTCACTCGATGAAGAAGATTCATCTGGGTAAGATAGGTGTGCTTGTTAGCTAATATCAATGTTAAAAGCCGTCGTACTTCATGTCAGGAGCTGTAACATCTATGTTGAATTTAATTCTCTCTGGAATCGTTAATGGAGAAGCAAGTAACTATTATTCACGACAACCCTGTTCATGTTCCAAATAACGATTACAGTTTTAAACAGTGCATCGTTGTCTTAACGTCGAGGCCACCGGTGCGTTCCATTTCGACTAACATAGGAGAACGTTTGCAAACAGTTGCAAACATTTTTCTGATTGCCTTGAGTTCTCTGTGAACATTTGCCACCACTACCAAATAGCTTCTCCACGAACACACAGGGGAGCTGGATGACGAGTTGCCGTTCAAATGTAATTTTTACACAAAATTGTTCAAATTTCAAACGGCCAATTAGGTATTCATCTTTATTGTCTTCACTGTTAGTGCATAACAACCTCAAGCTAAATTTAAAAGCTGATAGCTACGTAAGAGTTATTTAGTCATTGAGTGATACATTCATAATCGTTACTCACTTCAATAATTGATAGATTATTCAACTACCAAAATAGTTGTTTTACAAAGCGTTCATGTAGTGAATAGGCAGGTCGTGCCAGTAAGTAACCAATATCTTGTTCTGCAAGATGGATTTTTAAAATTTCCATATCCACATTGCAGTAGAAGAGAATGTGCTGAGGGCAGTGCTAGCTCGATAACTCCCCTCTGTGTTCTCCAAAGGACAGAGTAATTGGTTCACTCCCAGCATATATTTCGTGTTCACATGATAAATGTACCAACAGATGACCACACAAGCTCAAACGATCCCTCAGACAGGGCTGCAATAAAAACTGGCATCTGTCTGTGATGGATATCACCCCATGTACTTATTAAGACCTTGACAAACTGTTGTCAACAAACGCAGTCCATCGCTGCATCCACAAAGGCAAGTAGACTGTACTATGCACAGCGGAAGGTATACATCAGCAACGTCCAGAGACGCTTCACTGGACTCAAGATCCAGAGAACCATTACGGTTCCACCATTAAGGCTGAACACATTTTGGAGCAACATATGCTGCCTTCTAGACGCCATCTTTTTCAGGGACATCCTTGCTTATTTCATGAAAATTTTAAGCCACATTCTGCAGAAGTTACAAGATTGTGGCTGTGTGACGAGAGAGTGTGGGTGCTAGAATGACTTATCTGACTTAAGCTCAAAATTAGACAACAAATGCCCCACAGGGTTGCGCAGCTGAAGAACTGAATAACCAAAAAAAATGGCCAGAAAATCCTCTTACAAAACTGAATCAGTTTGTGTCTTCAGTCCCTAAACATTGTTAAAAGAAAAGGTGATGTAACACAGTGGTTAACAAGCTCCTGTCCTATTTTGGATCATGCTGCAGGCATCAAATTTGGAATAAGTGTTTGTATATTTACAAAAAACAATGAAGTTCATAAGGTAAGGTCATGTTTTTGTACTGTTTTCAATGTAATACAGGTCAAACCAAATTTACTAATCACTGCTTTCTGTTTTTTATTAGCACTGCACATACTGTCCTGACTATTTTTAGAATTGGGTTTGTATACAGGCCCTCAGGATCCTGTGACATGAATACAGCAAATAATAATCCCTGAGAAATCAGGATATTCAATAGATAGATTCAAAAGCAAGATAAATAAGGGCAAACTAGGACAGCTGTTCTCAGTCCTAGTCCAGAGGGACTCTCTTCACAGTTTAGTGTTTTCCCCTCTAGCACACCTGATTCAGCTCATCAGCCATTTACCAAGCTTGAATCAGGTGCATTACACAACTCCCAACTGTTCAGCATAGCATCCCTCAGGTCTCTGCGGAATCACTGCAGCTCAAGATGCAGCTAACTTTGAGGAAAACTGAGGCAAACTTTAGAGACCAAAGAATTCTTGGCTATGTTTGGAGTCATAATTGTGTAAATGTAACGTTGCCATATGAAGCTTTGAGCAAAACCCAGAGCAGATGTTGGTTTATGGGTAGTTTAGTGTGAGAGCATCACAGGCCATCGTCCTCACCTTCTGTGCTGACCTCTCGTGAGCGCACCAGGTCGCTCTTGTTGCCCACAAGGATGATGGGAGTGTTTGGCTGGCTCTCCCTCAGCAACAGGCGCAGTTGAGCCACGCGGTGGAAACTACGTCTGTCTGTCAGGGAGAAGACAAGGATGCACACCTCGCACTGCAGAGTGGACAGGTCCTGTCAATCAAACACACACAGGCCAATCATGAGGAGAGTTAGCCAAGAACAAGCTGTACAATGTTGAGCAGTTGCACATTACTGAACCTACATTGATGCTGTTCAGTTATAAAATACACATAAGATACATGACGTGTACAGGCATGCATCCACAGGTGCTTATCCCACTGGTTGGTTGCTACTTCGCTGCTGCTTCCATTTAGCCACAAGAGCATTAGTAAGAACAGGCACTGATGTTGGGTGATAAGACATTGAGTCTGCAATACAATTCATTCCAAAGGTGTTGAAGTGGGTTTGAAGTTAGGGCTCTGTTTGCAGGAAAGACATTGCTTTATGGACCTCGCCTTGTGCATGGGTCCAAAGTCAGGCAAAGGACCGGCCACAAATTAGAAGCCTCCAATTCTTTAGAATGTCATTGTATGTAGCATTTGGATTTTCCACCACTGGAACAGAAAAAAAAGGGAAAAAAGTCTATGCAGATGAGTACTTGGCTTCTGTGCCTCACAGCCTAGAAGAGTGTGAGAAGTAGAGAAGGCCCCAGCATGGCCATGAGTAGGGAGGCTTTACCTACTTCAGACTTTGACTAAAAAAGGAAAATCCATTGTAGCAGCTTGTATTGCCTGTGCAGCAGAGAAAAACAGACTTTGCAACTTGTTTTAGCCTAGTCATCATAAAAGTTTAGAGAGACAATGCCTATGACTCACTGCATCTCCCCCATTTCAGTGTATCTCAGCAGTAAAACTCACAGGCCTTGGAAATAACTGGGGTGTTCCACAAGGTTCCATTTTAGGGTAGGTAGTGTTCTCCTGGCATCTGAATACCAGATAATGAAGCATGATTCATCAATCCAGAGAACATATTTTCACGGTTCAACAGCGATGCGTTTTACAGCACTCCAGCCAATGCCTGGCATTGCACTAAAAAGGTGGAATCCAGTGACAGCACCACATAGTCACTGAATTCTTAACCATCACCCATTCTAATGGCATTGTATTTTATTCACCTGTTAGCAATGGGTATGGCTGAAACAGCTGAACATTCTAATTAGAAGGGTGTCCACACACTTTTGGCCAAGTAGTGTATACTTTAAGTGTACATTATTTAAAAAATGTTATAAAAAGAGCTCCAGTAATTCCATTTTTACACAAATTGAAACTGTTTGCTGCCTTTTAAATTGTGTGCACATTTCAGGATGAACAGGCCAATAGATTTTTTTTCCCCCATTTCCTCACAACAGCAAAATGCATTTTCCACTGGCTGGCCTGTTTTTGTTTGCCTCTAAAAAGCATTGGTGAAATTGAAAGAGATGACCTGAAATCTACAGTGAGGGTCTATGTTCATGGTCCCAGAAGACTGAGCTCAGGTGTGTTCTGCGAGTGTTCCAGTGTAGACACACACAGATGCCTCATACCCAGCAGTTCCTCCTCCGCAAGTGTCATGTCACATCATCTCATCACACTGCTATGCTTTAAAGGTAACAGCCAAGGTGAAGTAGGACACAGCAATCCCCCCACTGAGCCATGTGATGACCACACCGATTCAGTTTAGGTTCCTCACATGCATACAGAATAGTTTAACTGACATAAATTGAATCATTCCGGCCCTAACACGGAACCTTGAGGAACATCCTCAGTTGTTTCCAAGGCTTGTGGGTGTAAAATAAGTTCTACCACTGAGACACAATAAAATGAGGGAGATGCAGTGAGTCACAGACATAATACCTCTAAACTTTCTTCATAACTAGGCTAAAATAAGCTGCAAAATCTGTTTTTCTCTTTCTAAAAAAATGCTGCACAGGCAATACAAGCTGCTATGGTGGGTTTTTGTTCTATAATCAGAGATATCAGAGAAGCAAGAAGAACTACCGTGAAGAAGGCAGAGCACATTTATCCCCCTACTCATGGCTACAACAGGGCCTTCTCCACTTCCCTCACTCTTCCAGGCTGTGAGGTACATAGGCCAAGCACTTAGCTTTAGCGCCTTTTCCCCCCTCTCGCCATCATCTTTAGGGCTCTGTCTCTATCCCAGAAGAAAAAAAAGAGAGGACAAGTGGAGAGAAGGTTGCTCTCTCCCTCTTTTTATGTATTTATTTATATATTTTTTGATTCTGTCCTACATCCCTAGCCCTGAAGGTGAATTCTAGCCCTCTGGAGAGCTGCCTGAAAATTTCACATCCTGGCTGAGCCAATTGGACCATGCCCCGAAGGAGAAGATTTGAAGCCCCGGATCCTCTGTGATGGGGGAGGGTGAGCTGGAGGGAAGTAACCAAAAGAAAAGATGCAGCCGAGGCAATACAGTAAAAAAAAACGAAAATTCTTTTAGATATTTCACAATTTTATTTGGAATTTTTCTCGTTTAAATCGTAACCACAGTTTTGTTTATTATAATAGGACAAATCTGAGTATTGGATCAACTGGGTGTTTTTGTCCCAAGTGAAGAAATTTGCTGTCATTTTTAGATGATTTCTTTTTAAAGTTAAACTTTTTGCTTGACATCAAACCTTCCAAATCCAAACTAACTTCACACGACTGAAGTTACCATTACTACCTTAGTTACAAGCTCTTCCACAAGAGAAGTACTGCCTGTCTCAATCTTAGCACAAGGCTGGGATAACAGCAACAGCCTAGTAACATCATAGCACCGAGCCAAAATAACACAGCAATTGCCTAGCAACACCTTAGCATCCACCTGGGATAGCAATGGTCTAGCAACCCCTTAAAAACCCCCTGGATACCATAGCAACAGCCTAGAAACACCTTAGCGACCACCTGGGATACCAATGGCCCAGCAACACCTTAGCAACCACCTGGGGTAACATAGCAATGGTCTAGCAACACCTTAAAACCCCCCTGGATACCATAGAAACAGTACGAAACACTTTAGTAACCACCTGGGATGCCAGTGGCCCAGCAACACCTTAGCAACCACCTGGGATTTCACAGCAACAGCTTTGTCAAGCCAACTTAAACTTAGTTTGCAAACTTTCCCCCTCTAGTTTCATTTTTAGTCTCCAACTGTTTTCTTAACAGACCTGTCCAGGGCGTATCCTGCCTTCCGCCCAATGACAGCTGGGATAGGCTCCAGCACCCCACCGCGACCCAGAAGGATAAGCGGTTTAGATGATGGATGTATGTATGTATGTTTTCTTAACAAAAGTAACTGAAGAATTTACTAATATTTTAATGGAAAATTTTTGTATTTGTATATTTTACACACCACATTAGACCTGCATGGTTCAGACAATATACAATCTACACAAAACAATATTCAAAACTTTGGGCACCCTGGAACATGGAACGTTTACGTTTGTTGGATCTTGTGAATGCTTTGCTTTACTTCATCCCACCTTGCACAGAAACATTCTGCAGCCTTCTGTGTGTTGCAAAGACTGATATTGTGGTAAACACTAACAAACATAATTTTGTGCAGCTTTGGTTGTATTAAAACTCAAATGGAATCATTTAGTTGTGAAAATTACTCGGCCCTACCTTCCACTACTTCATGGAGAGATAAGGGGTGGGGGTGGGGGTGCAGATGGGGAAGATGCTTCCTCCTTTCAGGGACAGGCAGTAATGTTTGTCGCAGAGCAGGGCGGACGGGGGATGAGTGGTCGATAGTGTGCGGCATGACAGAGGGCTCTCTAGGGCTTTTCTGACAAAACTAAAAGGTCTTTTCATCAGGAGAGGGAGGGGGAGAGCGTACAGTAGCATCCGCAAAGGGACTCTACACTGCTTACTGCAGAGCAGGCCATCTGTCAGAGTCCGCCCGCTCACGCATTCACTCACACACACAGACACACACACACACTAACAGTCAAATCTTGTAATAGTCATAACTATAAACACGCAGTTATAGCTATGAAAAGTCACATCTTTTTCTATCTTTCTCTCTCCTTCTAACAGCACACATATACTCACAGATACAGTTACACTACACCAGCATATGGATTTTACTTCTCTCAGACATAGGCCTGTGCTGGCAACAGACTCCTCAAATAACCATAACCGGATTTATGGGTTGACGCTGAATTTGGAGGTATTTTTTCCTTCGTTTTACCTTTTTAGATACAAAGCACTTCATGGAGCTGCCTTGTAACTAACTAACTTACTCACTCACGTTTAGCAGGCTGGAGATTCTCCACAAGGGGGCACCATTAGCAGCCAAATAGCTTTTATCTTCTTAGCTATGTTTCTATCCACTTTCTGCACAAATTGCAAATGATAAAATGTGTAAAAAAAAAAATTGTGCTGATGCCACAAAACTGTTGTCTCATAAGTTTTGGTTTATCAGTAAAACTACACTGACATCTTCAATTTCATTTTGCAACTTGGACACCTTTGGCTTCCCTGACTTTCCCATAACCTACTAATAAGGAGATTTTGTTAATGTTATTTTATTAATTTTTTAATAAAAAACATCAATTGGATGTCGATGAGGACACATTGTCCTTTCTCGTCACTGAATGAGGTGCCAACATGTTTCTGGACCTGACCTGTCTAGGGTGTATCTTGCCTTCCGGTCAATGCCCGCTGGGATAGTCACCAGCACCCCATGGCAACCCAGAAGGATAAGCAGTTTAGATAATGTATGTGTGTTTCTGGACCTCGCTAACATCAACTAGCGTAGTTAGCCTAGTTAGCTATAAAGCCATGCTACATCAGCCTTTTTTGTCACGGCCTTAGCAACATTATCTCACGTTCAGGCACTCGTACAGAGTGGCACAATGCAATATACATACACATTTACAAAATAAGCAAAATTTTACTGTCGTGTTAAAACATATTCAGTTCAACTAACAACCACTTATATTTTCTCCGTCTTTTTGTGATGAAGCAGAACAAGTACACAAATAGTGATTTCAGTATTCAAATACTGGCAACTCAAATGGTTAAAGTAAGTACTCAAGCACAATCCTAATATAAACACACTTAGGCCCTCATGCACGCACATAAATCCAGTCAAGTCTTAAAAATCTCTCTCTCACACACGTAAACTCAAAT